TGCTGACCCCTCTGGGGGTCCGGTCTTTGCGACCTCCTCCACTGTCCTTCCTTGTCCTGCGGTCCCGTCCGGCACGCTGTCAGGTCTCTACCTCCCCTCGTTCTCTACGAACTTGGTGGCAGGCCGAGAGCTCCAGGACGGGGGTGTTCACCAGTTCACCCCTGCCTACGAGCGCGTGACGCACTGCACGTGTGCTCGGACGGGTCGCCACCTGGCTACCTTCACTCGAGAGCCGGGGTCGGACCTGTACACACTGACCACTGAGTCCCCTCAGGTAGCTGCGTCTACGTCTGCGTCAGGTCAGCTGTCCGCCCCCTGCTCGTGTCGCTCTCTGGCGCATGAGACTGTCCTTTGGCACCACCGCCTTGGTCACCCGTCTGTGCAGCGCCTTCGGGCCATGCACAAACGGGACCTTGTTGCTGGTCTTCCCAGGGTACTCCCTCCCCTTCCAGACTCGCCTGCTCCTACCTGTATTCCCTGTGTCGAGGGGCGGCAGCGCGCCGCTCCTCACTCCTCCTCCTTTCCCCCGACGACTGCTCCCTTGCAGACGCTCCACATGGACGTGTGGGGCCCAGCCCGCGTCCGTGGTCAGGGTCAGGAGCGGTACTTCCTGATTGTTGTTGACGACTTCTCGCGCTACACCACGGTCTTCCCCTTGCGCGCCAAGGGTGACGTCCCTGATGTCTTGATCCCTTGGATCCGCAGATCTCGTCTCCAGCTCAGTGAGCGTTTCCGCTCCGACTTCCCTGTCCTGCGTCTGCACTCTGATAGAGGTGGGGAGTTTTCCTCTGGCCTCTTGGAGGCCTTCTGTCAGCAGGAGGGCATTGAGCAGTCGTACACGCTTCCGGCCTCTCCACAGCAGAATGGGGTTGCTGAGCGCCGCATTGGTCTGGTCATGGAGGTCGCTCGTACCTCCTTGAGCCATGCGGCTGCCCCCCATTTTCTGTGGCCGTTTGCAGTCCGATACGCTGCGCATCAGCTCAACCTCTGGCCCCGTGTCTCCTTGCCCGAGACTTCTCCGACACTGCGTTGGACGGGAGAGGCTGGCGATGCGTCGCGTTTTCGGGTCTGGGGATCCCGAGCTTTTGTCCGCGACACGTCCGCGGACAAGCTCTCCCGTCGCGCTGTCCCCTGCGTCTTCCTTGGCTTTGTCCCAGACGCCCCTGGCTGGCAGTTCTACCACCCCACCTCGCGTCGTGTCCTGGCCTCTCAGGACGTCACTTTTGACGAGTCCGTCCCCTACTACCGCCTCTTCCCCTACCGCACTGCCCCGCTCCCCCCCCGCCTCTCTTCCTCGCTCCAGGTGCTGAGGTACCAGACCCCCTCCCCCCTCAGGGTGCCGCTCCCTCAGGTGTGTCCCAGGTAGACCCGGGTGAGCCTGTCGAGGTAGCTGTTGACTCTCGTCCTGCTAGGGGTGCTGAGCCTGGGGGTACTGCGTCTGGGGGTGCTGAGCCTGGGGGTGCTGCGTCTGGGGGTGCTGAGCCTGGGAGTGCTGAGTCTGGGGGTGCGGAGCCTGGAGGTGCTGAGTCTGGGGGTGCTGAGTCTGGGGGTGCTGAGCCTGAGCGTGCTACACCTGGAGGAGCCCTCTCCTCCCAGCAGCTGCAGGAGAGGTACCTCGAGTACTGCCGCCTCCGGAGAGGTGCTGCTGGAGCTCGTCCCGGTACTTCCCCTCCTACCCAGGAGCTCCCCCCCATTCAGCAGATCCGCGAGTGGTACACACGGCGCTGCAGTCTTCGGAGTGGTGCTCCTGGTGCTGCGGACTCTGGGGGTGGCGCTGCTGCTGGTGCTGAGGACCCGAGCGGTGGAGCTGCTGCTGGTGCTGAGGACCCGGGCGGTGGAGCTGCTGCTGGTGCTGAGGACTCGGACGTTGGAGCTGCTGCTGGAGCTGGGGACCCGAGCGGTGGCGCTGCTGCTGGTGCTGCGGACCCGGACGTTGGAGCTGCTGCTGGTGCTGAGGACCCGGGCGGTGGAGCTGCTGCTGGTGCTGAGGACTCGGACGTTGGAGCTGCTGCTGGAGCTGAGGACCCGAGCGGTGGCGCTGCTGCTGCTGCTGAGGACCCGGGCGTTGGAGCTGCTGCTGGTGTTGAGGACCCGGCTGGTGGAGCTGCTGCTGGTGCTGTGGACCCGGACGCTGGAGCTCCTGCTGGTACTGCGGACCCGGCCGCTGGAGTCTCTACTGCTTCTGGAGACGCTGCGCGGCCGCGACCGTACTTCGTACCGCTCCTTCAGCAGGTTCTTGGGCAGGCTCCTCCTCCTTGTCCTCCTCCCTCCGTAGAGTGTCCTCCGCCTGTCCAGCCGCAGTCACAGTTACCGCCTACCTCGCCTCTCCCTGCTCCCTCTCCTTACACTGGTCCCACAGGAGGTCTTACAGAGCGTCGTGAGCCTGAGTCTCGTCCTGCGTCGCCTGTTCGTACTGCTCGCACTGGTAGTCGTGTCCGCCGTGAGCGTCCTCCTCCTGTCCCAGGCACTCACTACATGACTCTGCGTCCCTCTACTGCTCCTCAGCGTGTCCCTCTACCGTCTCCTCCTTCGTCCTCTTTGCCTGACGTTCCGAACCCTGAGTCTGACCGGTATCGTGCTGAGCACCCTACTGTCACGCGTCTCCTAGCTACTGTTGTCACTGACCCTACCTTTGAGTCCTCCGCTGCGTCTGCTCTGGTCGCTGAGTTGGTTGACTTTGCTGCTGCCTGTCGTCTAGACTACGCTGCTAGCCTTGTTGCTGAGTCTGAGTCTGAGTCTGTCTGTCCTCCGTCCGTCGGGGGTGAGTGTGCTCTTGGCACGGACGTCCTTGAGGACAGACAGGAGGAGTTCCAGTGTCTTGCTGCTGCTTTGCCCCGTCTCGTGTCCCTGCTAGTTGCCCCTGAGGGAGACCCGGATGCACCAGACATCCCGACCCCGCGCACTTACGCTGAGGCGATGGCGGGTCCCTACTCCTCTCAGTGGCAGACAGCCATGGACGCCGAGATGGCTTCCTGGAAGTCCACACGCACCTACGTCGACGAGGTTCCCCCTCCTGGGGCGAACATCGTCAGTGGCATGTGGATTTTCAGGGTGAAGCGGCCACCGGGTTCTCCGCCTGTCTTCAAGGCGCGTTACGTGGCTCGAGGCTTCAGTCAGCGAGAGGGAGTTGACTTCTTCCAGACCTTCTCCCCCACCCCAAAGATGACCACTCTTCGGGTGCTGCTGCACATAGCCGCTCACCGCGACTACGAGCTTCACTCACTTGACTTCAGCACTGCTTTCTTGCAGGGCAGCCTGCACGAGGAGATCTGGCTGCGCCGCCCACCTGGCTTCACTGGGTCGTTTCCTTCTGGTACCCAGTGGAGGCTTCAGCGGCCGGTCTACGGTCTCCGCCAGGCTCCGCGTGAGTGGCACGACACACTGAGGACTACACTTGCGGCTCTTGGGTTCGCGCCTTCTACAGCTGACCCGTCGCTGTTCCTGCGCACCGACACTTCGCTGCCGCCGTTCTACATCCTCGTGTACGTCGACGACTTGGTCTTTGCTACTGCTGACACTGCAGGACTCGCCTACGTGAAGTCGGAGCTGCAGAGGAGACACACGTGCACAGACCTGGGTGAGCTGACAAGCTATCTTGGCTTGCGGATCACCCGGGACAGAGCACGGCGCACCATCACCCTGACTCAGTCACACATGGTGCAGCAGGTTCTCCAGCGCTTCGGCTTCACGTACTCCTCGCCTCAGTCCACTCCTCTGCCTACCGGTCACTCGCTCTCAGCTCTGCCTTCGGATGAGTCCGTAGAGCCGAGTGGCCCGTATCCAGAGCTTGTGGGCTGCCTCATGTACCTGATGACCTGCACTCGACCTGACCTTGCATACCCTCTTAGCATCCTTGCACGCTATGTCGCTCCTGGCCGTCACAGGAAGGAGCACATGGATGCCGCTAAGAGGGTGTTGCGCTACTTGTGCAGTACGTCGGGCATGGGGCTTGTGCTTGGAGGGCGAGACCGAGTTGTTCTCACAGGGCACTCAGACGCTTCTTGGGCAGACGACCAGGCCACTCAGCGGTCGTCTCAGGGTTACACCTTCAGCCTTGGCTCTGGCTCAGTTTCTTGGCGCTCTACACGCTCTTCTTCTGTTCTCGGCTCCAGTTGCGAGGCTGAGATCTACGCTACAGCCATGGCTGCCCAGGAGCTACGCTGGCTGACCTACCTGCTGACCGACCTCGGAGAGCCGCCTCGTTCTCCTCCAGTACTGTACGTCGACAACAAGGCTGCCATTGCCTTGTGTGAGGAGCACAGACTGGAGCACAGAACGAAACACATCGCTCTGCGGTACTTCCTTGCTCGAGAGCTACAGCAGCGCGGTCAGCTTTGTATTCGCTACGTGGCCACTGAGGCCAACACTGCTGATGTGTTCACCAAGGCACTTCAGCCTCGTGACCATCAGCGCCTCTGCACTCTACTAGGCCTTGTGCCTACTGGACCTCACTTGCTTACCTCTTGACCTTGCTTGTACTGTGATCACTATATATGCTTATACCTGCTTGTTTACTCTTGCTAGGTTGTGATCACTGTATTTCTTGCTTTGTTATAAACCTGCATGTGAACTGGTCTTGTGACCACTTGCTTGTGCTCGGAATTTGTGTGGAATCCTCGAGATCCACCCTGAGCTTGCTTTGTCTTGCTTTGCCCTGACTGGTCTTGTGACCCCTAGGTCTCTCCCACTTCGCCTATGGGGGTGTGTCAAACATTATACATGTTATATCTGTGTAGGCTATAGTGGGTTAGCCTATAGGAGGGTCACCATTCTAGGGTTGCATATTTGTACCAAACTCACTGCTAGTTGCCTCATTCCAGTCCGTTTATTCTGACAGGCACATCATGCGAGTGAATGCGAGTGTATGAATGCACATATGCACCCATGTGAGAGCATGGCGTGCATGCGAGTGCGCCCACCCATCAGCACATGCATGCAAGTGAAATCCACAAACGTACTTTTCAGGCAGGATGGTAACTTGGTGCTGCTGTGATCCAGAGTCATTTGGATCCAAATGCTGCTGCAGAAACGGGGGCCTCTTCGCCTGGCCTCTCCCACGCTCTCCCCCACGCCCATCCCCATTCCCGTACCCATGCCCTCCCCCACGCCCTTGCCCATGCCCACGTGTGCTGCTGTCAAGCGTGTCCCCATGTGAGTGTATGAGTCCATGCGTCATAGCACTCGCCTCCTCTTCTTCGTCATCCGATGTGTCGTCAGGCTGAAAGCAGCAAGCAAGGGTTTAACAGAAGAAGGTGCCTTGAAACTTCTCAATCTCTGCGCCCATGCGCATTACGATAAATGTCCTCCTGTGGCATCTATACACATCTGATCTGATGTTTCACCTGCATGGATTGAGTTAATTTTTTAGGCGCTTGCGGCATATATTTACACATCTGATGTAAGATGCATGAGTCAGTGTGTCAAAGCGCTCCCCTCCTCTCCACCTCATCTTATATCCCTCTACATCCCTCATCATCCCTCTCCATCTCTCTTCACCTCTGCTCACCACTTTTCACCACACCGCACCTGTCTCAGCTGGCTGTATCTGTCCCCAGTCACATGCAGCCGCTCCAACACAGTGGACGTGCTGCCGCCCAGCAGAATCACCTGGTGCGATGGGGTTTGGGCGGGTGGGGAGGGGGACCAGGGGAAGAGGAAAAAGAAGACGATTCTGGGCATCTGATTGACACACACACAGCCGCTCCAACACAGGAGACGTGCTTCCACACAGCAGATCACCTGGGAAACGGGGTTGGGGGAGGGGGGAAAGAGGAAAAAAAAGAGGCGCCTGGGCATAAGAAGCATCTGATTGACAAACACACAGCCGTTCCAACACAGGAGACGTGCTTCCACCCAGCAGATCACCTGGAGCATTGTGGGAAGAAGGGGAGGGGGACCGGGGAAAGAGGAAAAAGAAGACGATTCTAGGCATCTGATTGACACACACACAGCCGCTCCAACACAGGAGATGACAGATGTGCTGTTGCTCAGCAGAATCGAGTTTTGAGTCGACTCAAAACTCGATTCTGGCCATCTGACTGGCAAACACACAGCCGCTCCAACACTGGAGACGTGCTTCTGCCAACAGAATGATTGGGCAGGCAATAAACGTTTTGCAAAAAAAAAATCAGGCATGCGGAAAAGTGAAGGTATGCTCACAGTGAGCATGACAATAGCAGTGGTGGTGGTGAAAATCGCCCGCCCGTGGCTGTGGTTGGGTAGACACCAGGTGATAAGGGAATTGAGGCACACTGGAAAGAGAAGCGGTGCTCACAGTGAGCATGACAATCGCAGTGGTGGTGGTGAAAATCGCCCTCCCGTGGCTGTGGTTGGGTAGGTCGTGTGTTGCTTGCAGGGCCAACCCAAACGCCATGGCTCCTCGCAAGCCTGATAGCAGGGTAGCAGGGGAGACATGGGGTGAGAATGGGTTGAGATGGTGTGAGGTATAGTGAGATGGGGTGAGGTAGAGTGAGATGGGGTGAGGTAGAGTGAGATGGGGTGAGGTAGAGTGAGTTGGGGTAGAGCTGCAGGGAGAGGAGTGACAGTGAGTGATAGAATGAGTGGTTGGAGAAGAGATAAAAGGGGGGAAAATATGGAGAGCGAGTGATGGCAGGTTGTGACAGCGTGAATGACAGAGAGAGTTTGTTTGTTTGTTTTGTTTGGGGGAGGGTGGGAGGGTGGGGGTGTGGGAAGTGGGGGACGAGGGGGGGGGTGGATGAAATACACAATAGAATGCAAGACATCCATAGTCGTAATTGAGTGACGGAGAGAGTGAAAAAGAGAGGGCGCTGACCGCCCCCTCCCTCCTCGAATGCACTCACGCATTCTCGAATGCACCCCATCACAGAAGTAGCAGCAATACAGTCATGGAGGAAGAAAGGGGTTTCTTTTCGAACGGGAGGGGATGGCAGGATGGTGAGGAAGGGGGCACCGGAGTGGAAGTCGAGGGAGTGGCTGAGGAGGGCGGTGGCGGTGGTGGTGTGGATGGTGTGGGGGGGTTTGAGGAGCATCGAACAGCACCGGCACCAGGATCGATGCCGGTGCCGTTCGATGCTCCTCAAACCCCCCACACCATCCACGCCACCACCGCCACCGCCTTCCTCAGCCACCCCTGTGCCTAGGGTTGAGCACGGGCCGGGCCGGGCCCGGCCCGGGTCGGGCCAGGCCGGACCCATGAAAAAACCGGGCCGGGCCTGGCCCGGCCCGACCCGGGCCGAATGAGCAAGACTCTGGCCCGGGCCCGCCCATTTTGTACTCGGGCCCGGGTGGCCCGACCCGGGCTGTGCAAGGCCCGACCCGGGCCGGGCCCGGCCCGGCCCGGGTGCACTTTTGTTTTAGGTAAATGGTGTTTTGGACCTGTTTTAGAGGGGCAAACAAGTCTAGGGCCCGGCCCGGGCCGGCCCGGCCCGGCCCGCCCGGCCCGGCCCGCCCGGAAATGGCCGGGCCAAAAGCGGGCCGCCCCCAGCCCGGCGGGCCGGGCCTGCCCGGCCCGCCCCGGGCCGACAGCCAAATTTTGAGGCCCGGCCCGGAGCATTTCCGGGCCGGCCCGACCCGGGCCGGGCCCAGCCCGTTTTTTTGCTCATCCCTACCTGTGCCCCCTTCCTCACCATCCTGCCATCCCCCCCCCGTTCGAAAAGAAACCCCTTTCTTCCTCCGTGACCGCATTGCTGCTACTTCTGGGATGGAAGCATTCGAGAATGCGTGGGGGCGGAGAACAGAGTGCCTTCTAATGAAGAGTGTTGAAGTGAGTGAGTAGTGGAGAGTCAGTAACGGAGTAGTGAGTGAGTGTTGAAGTGAGTGAGTAGAGGAGGTTGAGTGACAAAAGACAGAGTGATGCTTAGTAAGTCACAGAGGGGGGAAGTTGAGATGGCACTGACCGCTGAACCAGAGTGCCTTCTGGTGGCTGTCGGGTATTTGCTTGGAGGGCGGGCGGAAGAGGTTGATGAGATGTGCGCAGGGGAACACATTGGCGGCCCTGATGCAGGGGTGAAAGGGAGAGGGGAGATGACGGAGGGGAGGGCGGGGGGGATAAGGGATGAATGGGGGTGGGGAGGGCGGAAGAGGTTGATGAGGTGCGCGCAGGGAAACACATTGGCGGCCCTGAATGGGGGTGAAAGGGAGAGGGGAGGTGACAGAGGGGAGGGCGGGGGAGATAAGGGATCAATGGGGGTGGGGAGGGCGGAAGAGGTTGATGAGATGCGTGCATAGAAACACATTGGCAACCCTGATGTGGGGGTGAAAGGGAGAGGGGAGAGGACGGAGGGGAGGGTGGGGGAAAACAAGGGATGAATAGGGAATGGGGAGGGCGGAAGCAGTTGATGAGATGCACACATGGAAACACATTGGCGGCCCTGATGTGGGGGTTTGAGGGGGGGAAAGGAGGATGAGCGTGGAGTGAGGAGATAGACTGTAGAGCTGGAAAAATAGACGTGCCAGCTGGATGGATGGATGTTGGTATACTGGCGTGGCTGCTGGATGGATAGGAGGACTGGGGCCAGCAAATACATGAGAGAATATTGTCAGGCCTGCTCACAACCTTGTTATACCATCCCACCTTGCTACAGCCCCTCCCACTTTTCCACACCCCCTCCCACTTTTCCACACCTGCTCCCACTTTTCCACACCCCCTCCCACCTTGCTCCACCCCCTCCCACCTTGCTGCACCTCCCCTCACCTTGCTACGCCTATGATGATCTGGCAAGAGTGCGGAGGAGTTGGTTGGCATTATGATGATAAGTTGGGCATGGCCGATACGTCAACACGACGGCGCAGCAGCAGTGAGGCATGGGAGGAAACACAAGATGCGTACATGCAAAAGCACCGATCACACACACTCGCACATGCACGCACGCATGCATGCACGCATGCACGCACGCACGCACACATATGCACATGCATATCGCATGCGCACGCACACAGGGACAACAACATACACACAGGCATACACATGCACAGCACACAAAGAGTATAGTTGAAAGAGAGCAGCGACAAAGAGCAGAGACTACGAGCAGCGACTGAGAGCAGCGACTAAGAGCAGCGACTGAGAGCAGAGACTACGAGCAGCGACTGAGAGCAGCGACTGAGAGCAGCGACTGAGAGCAGCGACTGAGAGCAGCGACTGAGAGCAGCGACTGAGAGCAGCGACTAAGAGCAGCGACTAAGATCAGCGACTAAGAGCAGCAACTAAGTTGGAAGGAACTAAACATTCTGGGTAACAAACTGGAACGCTGAAAAAAAAGCCTCCGCGTACCAGCAAAGTCCAGCACCCAGAATCTTTTGTCTCTCACGATGGAATAAGATATGAAGCTGATCTGCCCCCACTACCCAATGCCATCCATGCCAGCACATGCAACATTCAAGCCATGGGCTCACGATGGAGAAGAAGATGAAGCTGATGTGCCCCCACCGCTGGTGCTCCCCCAGAGCAATCTCCGTTCCCATGTAGATGAAGCTGGAAAGAAGGGGGAATGGAGGGGGGAGAGAGGGGACGGGGCAGTGGGAAACACGGGAATAGGCTGAGTCAGTAAGCTACCGGTGGCGCTCCCCCAGAGCAATCTCCGTTCCCATGTAGATGAAGCTGGAAAGAAGGGGGAATGGAGGGGGGAGAGAGGGGTCGGGGCAGTGGGAAACACGGGAATAGGCTGAGTCAGTAAGCTACCGGTGGCGCTCCCCCAGAGCAATCTCCGTTCCCATGTAGATGAAGCTGGAAAGAAGGGGGAATGGACGGGGGAGAGAGGGGTCGGGGCAGTGGGAAACACGGGAATAGGCTGAGTCAGTAAGCTACCGGTGGCGCTCCCCCAGAGCAATCTCCGTGCTGAGGGCGGGCGGAGGGGGTGTGGAGAGGTCTGGCGCCTGTGGTGTTTTCTGTATGTGTTGATGCAACGCCTATGTTATAAAGCTCAGGAAATACGTTGGGGCAGCAGCAACACGTACGCGCGGTGAAGCATCAAGTGGAGAGAAGCCAGCGGAGAGGAGAGGACCTGCGAAGTGACAGTAGACGAACTACTTTACAGCGACCCTATTTTGACTCCTAACACTGAGGTAATCACTCACGTGAAAGTCTCAGCGATGGATGCAATGAGCTGGAAGAAGCCAGCGGAGAGGACCTGAGCCACCTCTGAGAGGTTGGGGAAGGTGTATCGCTTCATGAGCTGAGGGGTTTCGGGAGATGGGGGTGGGGGAATGGGTATTGGGTTGCGGAGGAGGGTAAGAGGAGTGCAGAGCAGAGAAGACCTGAGCCACCTCTGAGAGGTTGGGGAAGGTGTATCGCTTCATGAGCTGAGGGGTTTCGGGAGATGGGGGTGGGGGAATGGGTATTGGGTTGCGGAGGAGGGTAAGAGGAGTGCAGAGCAGAGAAGACCTGAGCCACCTCTGAGAGGTTGGGGAAGGTGTATCGCTTCATGAGCTGAGGGGTTTCGGGAGATGGGGGTGGGGGAATGGGTATTGGGTTGCGGAGGAGGGTAAGAGGAGTGCAGAGCAGAGAAGACCTGAGCCACCTCTGAGAGGTTGGGGAAGGTGTATCGCTTCATGAGCTGAGGGGTTTCGGGAGATGGGGGTGGGGGAATGGGTATTGGGTTGCGGAGGAGTGTACGAGAAGTGCAGAGCAGAGAAGACCTGAGCCACCTCTGAGAGGTTGGGGAAGGTGTATCGCTTCATGAGCTGAGGGGTTTCGGGAGATGGGGGTGGGGGAATGGGTATTGGGTTGCGGAGGAGGGTAAGAGGAGTGCAGAGCAGAGAAGACCTGAGCCACCTCTGAGAGGTTGGGGAAGGTGTATCGCTTCATGAGCTGAGGGGTTTCGGGAGATGGGGGTGGGGGAATGGGTATTGGGTTGCGGAGGAGGGTAAGAGGAGTGCAGAGCAGAGAAGACCTGAGCCACCTCTGAGAGGTTGGGGAAGGTGTATCGCTTCATGAGCTGAGGGGTTTCGGGAGATGGGGGTGGGGGAATGGGTATTGGGTTGCGGAGGAGGGTAAGAGGAGTGCAGAGCAGAGAAGACCTGAGCCACCTCTGAGAGGTTGGGGAAGGTGTATCGCTTCATGAGCTGAGGGGTTTCGGGAGATGGGGGTGGGGGAATGGGTATTGGGTTGCGGAGGAGGGTAAGAGGAGTGCAGAGCAGAGAAGACCTGAGCCACCTCTGAGAGGTTGGGGAAGGTGTATCGCTTCATGAGCTGAGGGGTTTCGGGAGATGGGGGTGGGGGAATGGGTATTGGGTTGCGGAGGAGTGTACGAGAAGTGCAGAGCAGAGAAGACCTGAGCCACCTCTGAGAGGTTGGGGAAGGTGTATCGCTTCATGAGCTGAGGGGTTTCGGGAGATGGGGGTGGGGGAATGGGTATTGGGTTGCGGAGGAGGGTAAGAGGAGTGCAGAGCAGAGAAGACCTGAGCCACCTCTGAGAGGTTGGGGAAGGTGTATCGCTTCATGAGCTGAGGGGTTTCGGGAGATGGGGGTGGGGGAATGGGTATTGGGTTGCGGAGGAGGGTAAGAGGAGTGCAGAGCAGAGAAGACCTGAGCCACCTCTGAGAGGTTGGGGAAGGTGTATCGCTTCATGAGCTGAGGGGTTTCGGGAGATGGGGGTGGGGGAATGGGTATTGGGTTGCGGAGGAGGGTAAGAGGAGTGCAGAGCAGAGAAGACCTGAGCCACCTCTGAGAGGTTGGGGAAGGTGTATCGCTTCATGAGCTGAGGGGTTTCGGGAGATGGGGGTGGGGGAATGGGTATTGGGTTGCGGAGGAGGGTAAGAGGAGTGCAGAGCAGAGAAGACCTGAGCCACCTCTGAGAGGTTGGGGAAGGTGTATCGCTTCATGAGCTGAGGGGTTTCGGGAGATGGGGGTGGGGGAATGGGTATTGGGTTGCGGAGGAGTGTACGAGAAGTGCAGAGCAGAGAAGACCTGAGCCACCTCTGAGAGGTTGGGGAAGGTGTATCGCTTCATGAGCTGAGGGGTTTCGGGAGATGGGGGTGGGGGAATGGGTATTGGGTTGCGGAGGAGGGTAAGAGGAGTGCAGAGCAGAGAAGACCTGAGCCACCTCTGAGAGGTTGGGGAAGGTGTATCGCTTCATGAGCTGAGGGGTTTCGGGAGATGGGGGTGGGGGAATGGGTATTGGGTTGCGGAGGAGGGTAAGAGGAGTGCAGAGCAGAGAAGACCTGAGCCACCTCTGAGAGGTTGGGGAAGGTGTATCGCTTCATGAGCTGAGGGGTTTCGGGAGATGGGGGTGGGGGAATGGGTATTGGGTTGCGGAGGAGGGTAAGAGGAGTGCAGAGCAGAGAAGACCTGAGCCACCTCTGAGAGGTTGGGGAAGGTGTATCGCTTCATGAGCTGAGGGGTTTCGGGAGATGGGGGTGGGGGAATGGGTATTGGGTTGCGGAGGAGGGTAAGAGGAGTGCAGAGCAGAGAAGACCTAAGCCACCTCTGAGAGGTTGGGGAAGGTGTATCGCTTCATGAGCTGAGGGGTTTCGGGAGATGGGGGTGGGGGAATGGGTATTGGGTTGCGGAGGAGTGTACGAGAAGTGCAGACAGAGAAGACCTGAGCCACCTCTGAGAGGTTGGGGAAGGTGTATCGCTTCATGAGCTGAGGGGTTTCGGGAGATGGGGGTGGGGGAATGGGTATTGGGTTGCGGAGGAGGGTAAGAGGAGTGCAGAGCAGAGAAGACCTGAGCCACCTCTGAGAGGTTGGGGAAGGTGTATCGCTTCATGAGCTGAGGGGTTTCGGGAGATGGGGGTGGGGGAATGGGTATTGGGTTGCGGAGGAGGGTAAGAGGAGTGCAGAGCAGAGAAGACCTGAGCCACCTCTGAGAGGTTGGGGAAGGTGTATCGCTTCATGAGCTGAGGGGTTTCGGGAGATGGGGGTGGGGGAATGGGTATTGGGTTGCGGAGGAGGGTAAGAGGAGTGCAGAGCAGAGAAGACCTGAGCCACCTCTGAGAGGTTGGGGAAGGTGTATCGCTTCATGAGCTGAGGGGTTTCGGGAGATGGGGGTGGGGGAATGGGTATTGGGTTGCGGAGGAGTGTACGAGAAGTGCAGAGCAGAGAAGACCTGAGCCACCTCTGAGAGGTTGGGGAAGGTGTATCGCTTCATGAGCTGAGGGGTTTCGGGAGATGGGGGTGGGGGAATGGGTATTGGGTTGCGGAGGAGGGTAAGAGGAGTGCAGAGCAGAGAAGACCTGAGCCACCTCTGAGAGGTTGGGAAAGGTGTATCGCTTCATGAGCTGAGGGGTTTCGGGAGATGGGGGTGGGGGAATGGGTATTGGGTTGCGGAGGAGGGTAAGAGGAGTGCAGAGCAGAGAAGACCTGAGCCACCTCTGAGAGGTTGGGGAAGGTGTATCGCTTCATGAGCTGAGGGGTTTCGGGAGATGGGGGTGGGGGAATGGGTATTGGGTTGCGGAGGAGGGTAAGAGGAGTGCAGAGCAGAGAAGACCTGAGCCACCTCTGAGAGGTTGGGGAAGGTGTATCGCTTCATGAGCTGAGGGGTTTCGGGAGATGGGGGTGGGGGAATGGGTATTGGGTTGCGGAGGAGGGTAAGAGGAGTGCAGAGCAGAGAAGACCTGAGCCACCTCTGAGAGGTTGGGGAAGGTGTATCGCTTCATGAGCTGAGGGGTTTCGGGAGATGGGGGTGGGGGAATGGGTATTGGGTTGCGGAGGAGTGTACGAGAAGTGCAGAGCAGAGAAGACTTGAGCCACTTCTGAGAGGTTGGGAAAGGTGTATCGCTTCATGAGCTGAGGGGTTTCGGGAGATGGGGGTGGGGGAATGGGTATTGGGTTGCGGAGGAGGGTAAGAGGAGTGCAGAGCAGAGAAGACCTGAGCCACCTCTGAGAGGTTGGGGAAGGTGTATCGCTTCATGAGCTGAGGGGTTTCGGGAGATGGGGGTGGGGGAATGGGTATTGGGTTGCGGAGGAGTGTACGAGAAGTGCAGAGCAGAGAAGACTTGAGCCACTTCTGAGAGGTTGGGAAAGGTGTATCGCTTCATGAGCTGAGGGGTTTCGGGAGATGGGGGTGGGGGAATGGGTATTGGGTTGCGGAGGAGTGTACGAGAAGTGCAGAGCAGAGAAGACTTGAGCCACTTCTGAGAGGTTGGGAAAGGTGTATCGCTTCATGAGCTGAGGGGTTTCGGGAGATGGGGGTGGGGGAATGGGTATTGGGTTGCGGAGGAGGGTAAGAGGAGTGCAGAGCAGAGAAGACCTGAGCCACCTCTGAGAGGTTGGGGAAGGTGTATCGCTTCATGAGCTGAGGGGTTTCGGGAGATGGGGGTGGGGGAATGGGTATTGGGTTGCGGAGGAGTGTACGAGAAGTGCAGAGCAGAGAAGACTTGAGCCACTTCTGAGAGGTTGGGAAAGGTGTATCGCTTCATGAGCTGAGGGGTTTCGGGAGATGGGGGTGGGGGAATGGGTATTGGGTTGCGGAGGAGGGTAAGAGGAGTGCAGAGCAGAGAAGACCTGAGCCACCTCTGAGAGGTTGGGGAAGGTGTATCGCTTCATGAGCTGAGGGGTTTCGGGAGATGGGGGTGGGGGAATGGGTATTGGGTTGCGGAGGAGGGTAAGAGGAGTGCAGAGTAGAGAAGACTTGAGCCACTTCTGAGAGGTTGGGAAAGGTGTATCGCTTCATGAGCTGAGGGGTTTCGGGAGATGGGGGTGGGGGAATGGGTATTGGGTTGCGGAGGAGGGTAAGAGGAGTGCAGAGCAGAGAAGACCTGAGCCACCTCTGAGAGGTTGGGGAAGGTGTATCGCTTCATGAGCTGAGGGGTTTCGGGAGATGGGGGGGGGGAATGGGTATTGGGTTGCGGAGGAGTGTACGAGAAGTGCAGAGCAGAGAAGACTTGAGCCACTTCTGAGAGGTTGGGAAAGGTGTATCGCTTCATGAGCTGAGGGGTTTCGGGAGATGGGGGTGGGGGAATGGGTATTGGGTTGCGGAGGAGTGTACGAGAAGTGCAGAGCAGAGAAGACTTGAGCCACTTCTGAGAGGTTGGGAAAGGTGTATCGCTTCATGAGCTGAGGGGTTTCGGGAGATGGGGGTGGGGGAATGGGTATTAGGTTGCGGAGGAGGGTAAGAGGAGTGCAGAGCAGAGAAGACCTGAGCCACCTCTGAGAGGTTGGGGAAGGTGTATCGCTTCATGAGCTGAGGGGTTTCGGGAGATGGGGGTGGGGGAATGGGTATTGGGTTGCGGAGGAGTGTACGAGAAGTGCAGAGCAGAGAAGACTTGAGCCACTTCTGAGAGGTTGGGAAAGGTGTATCGCTTCATGAGCTGAGGGGTTTCGGGAGATGGGGGTGGGGGAATGGGTATTGGGTTGCGGAGGAGGGTAAGAGGAGTGCAGAGCAGAGAAGACCTGAGCCACCTCTGAGAGGTTGGGGAAGGTGTATCGCTTCATGAGCTGAGGGGTTTCGGGAGATGGGGGTGGGGGAATGGGTATTGGGTTGCGGAGGAGGGTAAGAGGAGTGCAGAGTAGAGAAGACTTGAGCCACTTCTGAGAGGTTGGGAAAGGTGTATCGCTTCATGAGCTGAGGGGTTTCGGGAGATGGGGGTGGGGGAATGGGTATTGGGTTGCGGAGGAGGGTAAGAGGAGTGCAGAGCAGAGAAGACCTGAGCCACCTCTGAGAGGTTGGGGAAGGTGTATCGCTTCATGAGCTGAGGGGTTTCGGGAGATGGGGGTGGGGGAATGGGTATTGGGTTGCGGAGGAGGGTAAGAGGAGTGCAGAGTAGAGAAGACCTGAGCCACCTCTGAGAGGTTGGGGAAGGTGTATCGCTTCATGAGCTGAGGGGTTGTGGGAGATGGGGGGTGGGGGAACGGGTATGGGGTTGTGGAGGAGCGTAAGAGGAGTGCAGAGCAGAGAAGACTTGAGCCACCTCTGATAGGTTGGGGAAGGCTTAATGCTTTATAAGCTGAGAGGAAAAGGGGTGGGAGAGGGGGTTGGGGGTGGTTAACAGAAAACAATCGTGACTGGAAAGGGAAGTCGAGGGGGAGTGTGTACCAGGCAGACTTTTGAGTCGACTCAAAAGTATCATGCCATATGGTATCATGGATGAATGCTGAGATGTGGAGACTGTTTTTGAGACGTCTCAAACACACCCTCTTGACACGGGGCGTGTGTACCAGGATCGTGTCATGCCATATGGAATCATGGATGAATGCTGAGACGTGGAGACGAGAAATGAACGATGAAAGGGCGAAACGATGAGCAAGGATGAAGGCTTACAACTCCACAGAAGAGAATGGCTACGATGCCTGATAGAGCAAGGCCCTCCGCCACCAGATAGCTGGCAGGGGGGCAGAGAGGAGTAGAGAGGAGCAGAGAGGGGCAGAGAGGGGCAGCTTTTGGAAAGTCTCAAAAAAAAGGGGGGGGGGGGGGAGGGAGGGGGTATATGAAGATAGAAAACAGCAGGCAAGCCTGTTGTATTAGTGGCCAGATGCAGAGGTTGCACACTGACTGCTTCGATTTGATTTGATTTAGTTTGATTTGACAGATGGAAGCGTCAAATAGATTTGAGCAAGGGCGTTAGGTTGGTTCTAGACCGCATAATGGCAAGCGGAGGAGCGGGAGGCTCACGATATGTAGGGGAAGAGAACGATGAGGCAGCACTCGAGGTTGTGTAAACTGAGGGAAACAAAGAGGGGGAAAGAAAAAGAGGAGAGGGGGGGTGAACGATGAGGCAGCACTCGAGTTTGTGAGAGGAACAAAAGTGGAAGAGGGAAAAATAAGTGTGGCCAGAAGAGTGGGCACTTTTCCATAAACACGAGTACCCCAGCAGCAGCGCGCAGAGTTGGGAGTTGAGATGGAAGACAGAAAGGAGCTCACTTCTTCACGGAGAGGCCGGCATATTTGAAGAGGTGCTGGATGGTACGCCGTAGCCATAGATATAGCAGCACGCCGCCAGGTCACACATGACGGCACGATGGAGTTAAGGACGAATATCATATGGTTGTTTCGAGTCGACTAAAGAAGAGGGTACGGATTTTGACAGGCAACAATCAGAACAAGTACAGCAACAAAGAATGTGGAAAAGCAGCAACGTAACACTAGATATAAACATGATGCGTTGAAAGGGGGTAAGGAACGAGGTTAAAGGTTCTGGGAAGTCTCAAAGCTTGATGCGTGGAAGCAGGCAGAGAAAGAGTGAAAGGACGGCTGCTAAAGGACGAGGTAAGGGAGATTTGTGAAGGAAGAGGTGCAGTGCGGGGCGGAGGCTGGCAAAGGAAGAGGTGAAGGGCGTTTGGGAGGATATGAGAGCAGAAAAGAGCGCCACAGCTACTCCTGCAATGGAAAGATGGAGAAGAGGAGAGAGACAACAGACCAGAGAACGGAAAAGGCAATGGAGAGTAAACGGGTAAAATGCATTTGCGAGCAGGGCAACAGCAGCCACTTGTGCGAGGGAGGGTAAATTAAAGAAATCAACGGTTGGGCATGATGAATGACAACGAAGATAGACAAAAGAGAAAGAAAGAAAGCCGGGTCAGGTGGGATATGTTGGGTGTTGGGGGTGGGGAGTATGGGGGTTGGGCAGCGGAGGGGAAAGAGAGAGGGCTAGAAAGAATTGAGAATAAGATGCAGACTGGATGGATGGATGCATAGCATGTAGACACACACACAATGCACACGCCCCATTTACATACCGATAGAGGTGGAGCCAGCAAAGGTTATGGCGGCGTACTGGAAGGCAGCAGATATGCTCGGGTCTGCTGCAGGGTTGCGTATGATAGTCATCACAGTCCTGTGCGGTTGGAAGGGGTAGAAGGAGGAACTGACTGGATGCACTGCTAGAAACTGCGATTTACATATTCATGTGGGTGTGTTTGCATGCATGCCTTCGTAAATTCATTTATTCATTCACTCACTCACTCACTCATTCATTCCTTCTTTCGCTCTCTCTCACACACACACACACAGACACACACACACACACACACACACACACACACACACACACACACACAGCAGTTTCTCTCACTGGCTCACCTGTACATGGTAATGGCCACCTGCCAACAACACATGCATGTAGGTTCATTCATTCGCATAAAAGCATTGTGCATTGCCATGCCATCCATGGGCATCCATACATGTGCATATGCAGGTGTGTGAATGCACATGCAAAAACATACGCATGCATATGCACACGCATGCACACAGCAGGGGATGTGATGCACAAGCACGGATCGAAACCAGTGAAACGCGTCAGGAAACAAAGAAGTCTAAAGGTGAATAATGGAACTTCAAAACGAGGGCGTAACTGAGAACGTGCAAGATAAGAAGTCATTCAATAAAAAAAAACCCTCATGTCCACATATATGTATGTGCCTGGGCTGACGTGAATGGAATCCAAGTCTTGAATCAACCATTCAGCCATGCAGTAGGAATGTACATACCGCATTGGCCCACATTCCAAACATGTGTGAACCACCCACCCACTTACCCACCCTCCCTCCCTCCAACCCACCCGCCCGCCCGCCCACCCACCCAGCTGCATATGTAAGTACCGCATCATTGAGCAACCACGTACCGCATCGTTGAGAACCGACTCGCCGAACACAAGCGCATAGAGATTTGTGTCCACTCCCACGTCCTGTTTAGGAATGTTTGTTGGGAATGAGAGATGGAAGGGCCATCCAAGAGAAAGAGGGACCTTGAGGTGCCTCAAAAGCCGTGCCTGTTCCCACATCCTGATGCAATGTTTGTTGGGAACAAAAGAAGGAATCGCTTTTGATGATTGAGAGAGGGGAGGGTGCAACAAGTGAGGGACGGAGGTGAAATGGGGGAAGCGGGAAGATGGGGCGACCAACAAAAATCAGGCCAGATAATAATGAGAAGGTCAAGAGCTATATTATTACTACTAATACTATTAAAATTATTATAATTATTTTTATTATTATCCAACAACATTTTTGTCATTCGCTGCTGAAACGCATTTGAAAGATGGCATGGCGAGCTGAGGTGAGGGCTTGTGTGGGGGACGGAGGAGGGGGAGGGGGGGGGGGAGGGGGAGCAGATCGTGAAAAAGGGCACACCCAACATGACCTCTCACAGTCTCATTCAACGACGACCTTCCCCAGTACCCACCTGGAAGATGGCGAGCACAGCAACCGGGTCGGTGGAGGAGATGAGATGAGGAGAGGGCTTGTGTCTGTGGCACTCCGCTACTGATCAGTCTGGTCATCAGCACCCACCTTCCCCAGAACCCACCTTCCCCAGAACCCACCTTCCCCAGAACCCACCTTCCCAGCACCCACCTTCCCCAGTACCCACCTGGAAGATGGCGAGCACAGCAACCGGGTCGGTGGAGGAGATGGGATGAGGGCTTGTGTGTGGGGTACTGGACTAGCAACATGCTTTATATACCTTCCCCAGCACCCACCTTCCCCAGTACCCACCTGGAAGATCGCGAGCACAGCAACCGGGTCGGTGGAGGAGATGAGGGAACCGAAGATGAGTGCTTCGAGGAAGGAGAGCTTGTACATGAGGAATAGGAATCCGCCCACGTAGCTGTAAGGAGGGAGGGAGGGTTGGGATGGGAGGAACATGCATATAGCGGGGTGCTTGGAAGAGATGAGGGAACCGAAGATGAGTGCCTCGAGCAAGGAGAGCTTGTACATGAGGAAGAGGAATCCGCCCACGTAGCTGTTGGGAGGGGTGGGGTGCGGTGCCAAAGGAGGATAATAAGGAAGGATAGCCTCGAGAAGGAGAGCTTGTACATGAGGAAGAGGAATCCGCCCACGTAGCTGTGGGGAGTGTGGGATGTATGGGGGACTAGATGGGTCATACAGAGGGATGGGGCACATGCGGGAATGGATGGTTCGGATGCACATGATGCAGATGATGGACATGTTTGCACATGCTGCACATCCTTCCTCCCAGCTATTGTCACGCCATTGTTACTGCTGGGAGGAAGGTGCCGCGACAAGCAAAGATGACAATCTGCCACTGCCACTATCTTTGGCTCAATCTTGGGCTCAATCTTGGGCAAAATCGCAGGTTCCTTCTAAGGCGCCTCACAACAAAACCCAACCCACCCCAGCACTCACACGAGAATGCCTGTGACAATGGCTGAGAGGAACGTGCCAAGGCATGAAAATGTGACTATGGCTCCAAAGTTGTTGAAAAACGGCTTCTGAATAGGGAAGAGGGAGGGTGAGTGAGACAACCGCGAGCCGACATGAATGATGACAGCGCAGGACCATGGATTCAAAGTTGTTAAGGAGTGGCTTCTGCGTGTCGAATGGAGGTGGCGGCATGGAGGAGGGACGCACACACTGGCATTCATACCCATAGAAACAAGCGTGGAAGCTTGACGGCAGGACAACATGACAAAACGCATGACATCACGAAAGCATGACAGCATCAGCAGCATGTATGCACTCACTCACTCATTCACTCACTCACACACACACTCATTCACACACACACTCACTCACTCACTCACCACTTGGAGGCTGAAGCCAGACTCAGTGCAGAGGCGAAAGAGTGCACCACAACAAGGCATAACCACGAACGGGATGAACATGAACGAACCAAACGAGCAGTGAAGGTAAGTTAAGGACAACACTAATTGCCATTAAATTCGTAATTCTCCGAGGCTGGATTTGAGTGCGCGTTGGGAGATTTAAAAGAGAAATGCTGAGGTTGTGGAGAGAGCGTTCAAAAGGAAGAGGTTAGGCAGGAAGAAAGATTGGGGGCGGATATAATATGATCGGCGGAAGGAGAAAGAGCATGAAAATCTCTTCCTTGAATCCAAGCCACTCCCTGCAGCTCAGTTCACACAAGCAGACAACACAAGCACATAACAAAAGTAGAAACCACAAGTAGACAGGAAAGTGGGTGGCATGTCAAGGGGAAGTGCAGGATCAGCTCCTGAGATAAAGAGACTGCACCTGGTGACTTAGTCAGACCGTGACATTGCGCCGCATACGCTCAGTCAGGCGAGGGGAATTTTCAGAAATACCTTTTAAGATTCAAGGGAATGAACCTGGTCAGTCCGTGACAATACAGGTACAGCCAGCCCATCTCATAAAGCAGTCCACTACGCTGGCTTTTCACCTTACCCTTGAATTTCACAAACCTGGCTTTTCACCTGAAGCTCTACCGCCACCATACCGCCCTTCTGACCAGAAAATCTTTCCCCAGAACCTCTCCTCTCCTCACACCAACCAACTCTCGTTTATTTGCCAACTGTTCTTCCTTTCCCAACCTGCCCTCTCACCTGAAGCTCTCCTGAGTGCCTCGCCAGTTGCCCACGGACCCCACCACGAGGCCTGGCGTTGGCACGCAGAGGGAGAGTTGGCATGCAGCGGGAGGAGGGGGTGAATGCCTTACGACCAACGAAGAGAGAGGGTGAAGGAACGGAGTGGACGTAGTACACCTTACGACCAACGACCAGACGGACAGAGACGCAGAGACGCACAGCTGCAGAGACGCAGAGACGCACAGCTGCAGAGACGCAGAGACGACGCACGAATGAGCAGCGCGGCGCTGCCCTCGTGGATGTAGTACACTTTGCAACCAGACGGGCAGAGACGAACAGCTGCAAAGCTGCAGAGACACCCCGACGCAGTGACGCAGAGACGCACCGATGAGCAGCGCGGCGCTGCCCTCGTGGATGTAGTACACCTTGCGACGTCGCAGGATGTGTCCGACGACGAATGCGACCATGAGCATGGCGATTTGTAACAGAATTGACAGACTCGCGAACGCCTCCGCTTTCGTCGACGATACCGGCGGAGCCGGCGCGCCCGCCATGGCGGAAGATAGGCTGGCGGAGCCGTCGGCGGAAGCGGAAGGGGCAGCGGCGGGGTGCGCGGAAGCGAACAGGGGGAACTCTTTCATCTGACGAGTGGAGTCGAGGAGGGGAAAGCCGAGAACACCATTGGCGCCAGGATCAACGGTGGGATCGGTGCTTAGCGCGGCCAGGAACAACATCGACGGTGGAGATCGACAGTTGGAGGAACCGAAAAATAAAGTGATCTAGTCGCGACGCGTGCGTCCTACACTCCCCATTCAGAACCTAAGCGCAGCAGTAATTTCTAAAGAAGGAACTAGGAGGACTTTTTATTCACTAACGCATGAAGAGAGGACGATAGCTCCCGTATTTTTGATACGCGGGGTCGGGCCGCGTCCCCTAGCCCGTAACGCCGAGACGGAGTGGGAGAGAATGTTTACAGAAAAGAGACGACGAGAAAGAAGCCAAGCTGACGAGTAAAATCCGAAAGCTAGACAGGTTGCTAACTGAAGCTAACGGGGATGGAGACGCGGAGGACGAGGAGCACAAGAAACAGACACCCTTCACCCAGAACGACTATCGGGAAACCATCAACAACATCAAATGAAATAGCAGAACGCAAATTCAACGGTCAAAACCAAGGCTGGGGAGGGGGGTGAAAGAGGGCTTTGAGGAACATGAGCTGCGGTTTAGGCGACAAACATCAAAACTCGAACTGGTTACCACGGTTGTCGAAACCAGAGTTCTCCCTAGCGACTCTCGCTGAAACACCAGCAAGTTGTCCTTTTGGCTTCCCCTATGTTCTGGAAACTGCGTGGTGGTAACAGGATCTGGACCGTTCAAGTTTGTCACTTCTCCTCGCAGATGGGAATCCGGACCAGTGATGAACCACCTCACCAGCACGTGTGTGATTAGTGCTCAGGACGCGGTGAAAGTAGACGATCGATCGTCTGTCACGATCGATGTGTGAAACGGTTACCCTGTTTACAGACAAGTAACACAGCTACAGTGACAATTTTAGACTAAAATCACAAACATTCAGACAGGACGACTGATCGTCTATCAATCTGGCATCCCTGGGAAGCAAATGCCGACGAACCGAGCATTAGAGCGACGACTGACCCAAGTGCGTCGCACAGTTTTCACATTTCACAGGGCCATTGTTATGAGTTGTGAACGAAAGAGTGCGCAGAATTCAATAACGCGGAAGTGATTACAACGTCTGAATGAATAGCGAGGCCTAGGCATAATATAGCAAGGCTAGCTAGGCCGAGGTCGCGGGGTCGCGAGATGGTTGGGTGCAGGTTCGGGGTTGGAAAACCCGAAGGCGACGCGGTAGTGGCTCGGAAGGCGAGGTCGGCGGGCCGAGCCTGGTTTTCCGAAAGTCGGGGTTGTACGCGTACGGAGTGACCCAGTAAGGAATCCGAAAAATTCCTCGAGTCAAAAATTCCTTACACTACCCCCCCCCCCTTAAAAAAGGTGGCGAATATCCGAGACATCTCGGCGGGCCAGGTAAGCATCCACAACCGGATGTCCCAGTAGCGAGTCGGCGGTGACGTACGTGTCGTCCTCGCTCGTGCGTTCTTTCCAGCGAAGCAGGAATTTCACCGAGCGGCCGGCGGTGGTGATGTCCACGCGATGGTTGAGAATCTTCCAAGGTTCCAGCGTGGGTTCTGCTACTGGACGGGTGGTCGGCGCGATGGTTGGCCGAGCAACAGCTGGCGACTGCGGCTGTTCGTAATGACGCAGTAGGCTGACGTGGAACGCGTCATGAATTTTCCAGTCGTCGGGTAGCAGCAGCTTCGCGGTGACAGGTGTCACCATCTGGATGATCCGAAATGGTCCCACGTATCGGGGCCATAATTTTGCGGGCTGCGGCAGACGAAGATTCGTGGTGTCCAAGAGGACAACCTGCCCTGCGCGGAAGGGTAAATTCCGTCGATGCTTGTCCGCCTGGCGGCTGGCTGTGGTATTAGCCCGTCGAATAAAATCAGCTGCTTTCGTGCGAGCAGTCTGTAGCTCCGTGACAAACTGCTGCGAGCGTGGTACCGGGTTGTCTATAGTCGTCAAAGAGGGTACCACGGGGTCTACCCCGTAATTTAGGAAGAAAGGCGATTGTCGTGTTGTGGCCGAAGGGGCGTTGTTGTACGCGAATTCCAGCATCGGCAGCGAATCCTTTCCCACCTGCGGATATCTGGGCAGTTGGTGCGAATCAGTTGCTGTTAAAAGAACTAGGCAAGAATGAATGCATTGAATGAAACAGTTGGGTACAAGTAGCAAACCCTAGTTGGGGTTGTACCCCATATTGGCTACCCCACTACAGCCTACCAACATATAACACATTACAATTTAACACACCCCCATAGGCAAAGTGGGGGAGAACAAAGGGTCACAAGACCAGTCTAGCAAAGCAACGCAAGCCCAGGGTGGATCACAACGTCACCACACTCCGAGCACAAGCAAAGGGCACAAGGCCAGTTCACATGCAGTGCTAGATATAGTACAAGACAAGCAACACAGTGATCAAAACCTAGCAAGCAAGCAACAAGATATATATAAAGTACAGTACAAAGAAAGTCAAGCAGTAAGCAAATGAGGGAATGTGGACACAAGGCCTAAAGAAGTACAGTGTCGCTGATGATCACTAGGCGGGAGCGCCTTGGTGAAGATATCAGCAGTGTTGGCCTTCGAGTCCACGTACACAAGCCGAAGCTGACCGCGCTGCTGAAGCTCTCGAGCAAGAAAGTAGCGAAGAGCAATGTGCTTCGTCCTGTGCTCCAGTCTGTGCTCCTGACACAAGGCAAGGGCCGCCTTGTTGTCACCGTACAGAACTGGAGGAGAACTAGGCCGCTCTCCCAAGTCAGTCAGCAGGTAGGTGAGCCAGCGTAACTCCTGTGCAGCCATGGCTGTGGCGTAGATCTCAGCCTCACAACTAGAGCCGAGAACAGAAGAAGAGCGGGTGGACCGCCACGAGACAGAACCAGAGCCAAGGCTGAAGGTGTAACCCTGTGACGACCGCTGCGTAGCCAGGTCGTCCACCCAAGAAGCGTCCGAGTGACCAGTGAGGACAACTCTGTCGCGTCCTCCAAGCACCAGCCCCATGCCTGATGTACTGCACAAGTAACGCAGCACCCTCTTAGCAGCCTCCCAGTGCTCTCGCCTGTGTCTCCCAGGCGCAACGTAACGAACAAAGATGCTAAGAGGGTACACGAGGTCAGGTCGCGTGCAAGTCATCAGGTACATGAGGCAGCCTACAAGCTCTGGGTACGGGCCACTCGGCTCTACGGACTCGTCCGAAGGTGGAGCTGAGAGCGAGTGGCTGGTAGCCAGAGGTGTGGCCTGTGGTGAGGAGAACTGGAAGCCGAAGCGCTGAAGGACCTGCTGCACCATGTGTGACTGAGTCAGGGTGATGGTGCGGCGAGCTCTGTCCCGGGTGATCTGCAAGCCAAGGTAGCTACGCAGTTCACCCAGGTCAGTGCAGGTGTGTCTCTTCTGCAGCTCCGACTTCACACGAGCGAGTGCCTCAGTGTCAGAAGTAGCAAAGACCAAGTCGTCGACGTACACGAGAATGTAGAACGGCGGCAGCGACGTGTCTGTGCGCAGAAACAGCGACGGGTCAGCAGTAGACGGCGCGAACCCAAGAGCCGCAAGTGTAGTCCTCAGTGTGTCGTGCCACTCACGTGGCGCCTGGCGGAGACCGTAGACTGGCCGGCGGAGGCTCCACTGGGTACCAGGAGGAAACGACCCAGTAAAGCCAGGTGGGCGGCGCAGCCAGATCTCCTCGTGCAGGCTGCCCTGCAGGAACGCTGTGCTGAAGTCAAGAGAGTGAAGCTCGTAGTCACGCTGAGCAGCAACGTGCAGCAGAACCCGAAGAGTGGTCATCTTCGGGGTGGGGGAGAAGGTCTGGAAGAAGTCGACCCCCTGACGCTGACTGAAGCCTCTAGCAACGTAACGAGCCTTGAAGACAGGCAGAGAACCTGGCGGCCGCTTCACCCTGAAAATCCACATGCCATCGACGATGTTCGCCCCAGGAGGGGGAACCTCGTCGACGTAGGTGCCTGTGGACTTCCAGGATGCCATCTCTGCGTCAATGGCTGTCTGCCACTGAGAGGAGTAGGGACCCGAGATCGCCTCTGCGTAAGTGCGCGGAGTGGGGATGTCTAGTGCATCCGGGTCTCCCTCAGGGGCAAGCAACCAGGCCACGAGATGAGGTACAGCAGCCGCGAGAGAGTCAAAGTCCTCCTGCCTGTCCTCAAGGACGTCCGTGCCAAGAGCACACTCACCCCCGACGGACGGAGGACAGACAGACGCAGACTCAGACTCAGCAACAAGGCGAGCAGCGTAGTCTAGACGACAGGCAGCAGCAAAGTCAACCAACTCAGCGACCAGAGCAGACGCAGCCGAGGACTCAAAGGTAGGGTCAGTGACAACAGTAGCTAGGAGACGCGTGACAGTAGGGTGCTCAGCACGATACCGGTCAGACTCAGGGTCCGGAACGGCAGGCAAAGAGGACGCAGGAGGAGACGGTAGAGGGACACGCTGAGGAGCAGTAGATGGACGCAGAGTCATGTAGTGAGTGCCTGGGACAGGAGGAGGACGCTCACGACGGACACGACGACCAGTGCGAGCAGTACGAACAGGCGACGCAGGACGAGACTCGGGCTCACGACGCTCGGTAAGACCTCCTGTGGGACCAGTGTAAGGAGAGGGAGCAGGGAGAGGTGAGGTAGGCGGTAACTGTGACTGCGGCTGGACAGGCGGAGGACAGTCTACGGAGGGAGGAGGACAAGGAGGAGGAGCCTGCCCAAGAACCTGCTGAAGGAGCGGTACGAAGTACGGCCGCGGCCGCGCAGCGTCTCCAGAAGCAGAAGAGACTCCAGCGGCCGGGTCCTCAGTACCAGCAGGAGCTCCAGCGTCCGGGTCCCCAGCACCAGCAGCAGCGCCACCGCTCGGGTCCTCAGCTCCAGCAGCAGCTCCAACGTCCGAGTCCTCAGCACCAGCAGCAGCTCCACCAGGTGGGTCCGCAGCACCAGCAGCAGCGCCACCCCCAGGGTCCGCAGCACCGCTAGGAAGAGCACCCCCAGAGTCGGCAGCTCCAACTCCGCTAGCACCGCCAGCTCCAGAGTCCCCAGCTCCAGCAGCTCCAGTCGTAGTGCTCCCAGAACAACCAGTCCCGGCAGCTCCAGTACCCCCAGTACGAGCACCCCCAGGACGAGCAGCTCCAGCACCCCCAACTCCAGCCGAGCCACTAGGACGGCGAAAGCGCCGGACGTACCAGTCACGAAGCTGCTGCGGTGTGAGAGACTGCTCAGCACCCCAAACTGGAGCACCCCCAGACGCAGCAACCCGAGGCTCCGTAGGCTCAGTAGCAGCACCCCCAGGCTCAGTACCCGCAGGCGCAGCACCCCCAGACTCCGCACACGCAGGCTCAGCACCCCCAGTCGCAGCACCCCCAGGCTCAGCACCCCCAGGCGCCGAACTCCCAGGCACAGTACCCTCAGCTCCAGCACCCGCAGTCCCAGCACTCCCAGGCCCAGCACCCGCAGGCTCAGCACCCCCAGGCTCAGCACTCCCAGCAGCACCACCTGCAGCAGCACCTGAGTCACCTGTGACCTCGACAGGCTCAGCGACGGGAGGAGGGTCTACCTGAGAGACACCTGAAGGAGCAGGACCCTGAGGGGGAAGGGGGTCTACCGGAGGGGGACCAGGAGCAAGGAAAAGCGGCGGGGGAGGGAGGGGGGCAGTGCGGTAGGGGAAGAGACGGTAAAAAGGGACCGACTCGTCAAAGGTGACGTCCTGAGAGGCGAAGACCCGGCGCGAGGTGGGGTGGTAAAACTGCCAGCCCGGCGCGTCAGGGACAAAGCCAAGGAAGACACAGGGAAGTGTGCGGGAGGAGAGCTTGTCCGCGGACGTATCGCGGACAAGGGCACGAGCACCCCACACCCGGAAGCGCGACGCATCGCCAACCTCCCCCGTCCAACGCAGTGTGGGCGAGGTCTCCGGCAAGGAGACACGGGGCCAGAGGTTGAGCTGATGCGCGGCGTACCGGACAGCAAACGGCCACAGAAAATGGGGAGCCGCCGCGTGGACCAAGGAGGTACGAGCGACCTCCATGACCAGGCCAATGCGGCGCTCAGCAACCCCATTCTACTGTGGGGAGTCCGGAAGCGTGAAGGTCTGCTCGATGCCCTCCGCCTGACAGAAGGTCCTCAAGAGATCGGAGGAAAACTCACCACCTCTGTCAGAGTGCAGACGTAGGACAGGAAGATCCGTCCGGAAACGGCGGCGGAGCTGGAGACGAACTGTGCGGATCCAAGGGATCAGAACAGCAGGGACCTCACCCTTGGTGCGCAAGGGGAAGACCGTGGTGTAACGCGAGTAGTCGTCGACAACCAGCAAAAAGTACCGCTCACCGCCCTGGCCACGAACGCGGGCTGGGCCCCACACGTCCAGGTGGAGGGTCTGCAGAGGAGCCTCTGTCGGGGGGAACGAGGAGGAGTGAGGAGCGGCGCGCTGCCGCCCCTCGACGCAAGGAAGGCAAGGCGGCGCAGGCGAGGCAGGGAGGGGAGGGAGGGACCTGGGAAGACCAGACACAAGGCGGCGACGGTGCATGCCACGGAGGCGTGGCAAGGAGGGGTGACCCAGGCGGTGGTGCCAGAGAAGAGTCTGGTGCGACAGGGAACGACACTCACAGGCGTGGGCCACCAGACCTGACGCGGACACCTGACCGACAGCAGCGACCTGAGGAGACGCAGTGGTCAGTGTGTAGAGACTCGACCCCGGCCGACGGGTAAACGTAGCCAGGTGACGGCCGGTCCTGGAGCACGTGCAGATCGCCACACGCTGTCCTCCAGGGGTAAAGGTGTCAACCCACTGATCCTGGATGACAGCGTTGCTCACCAGGTTCGTCGAGAACGAGGGGAGGTGGAAACCAGACAACGAGCCAGACGGAACCGCCGGACAAGGGAGCACAGTGGTGGACTGGGCAAGGACTGGGCCCCCAGAGGGGTCAGCCAAGGAGACTGGGACCGGTGCAGGAAGCGGTGTGAGCTCAGTACTGTCACGAAAGAAACAGCGGGAAGCACCTGAGTCAAGGGTGAAGGTGTGACAGGCCTCAGCCGGTGCGGTACCTGAGAGAGCAGTCTCTGTGAGTGCTGTACCTGAGAGAGCAGACTCGCAAACAGCCGGGACAGCACTGGAGGGAGCAAGTACAGGGGGCACCATACCAGAGAGAGCAGACTCACTAGTACCCAGGGCAGCGGGCTCTATACCTGGGTCAGGCGGCACACACAAGTAACAGTCTCCCTCGGCACTAACAGTCAATGCATACATGGCAGCAATAATAGCATCATAGTCAAGAGCAAAGATATCAACACCAGCCCTCATGAGCTCAGCCCAGCGGGGGCGCTCAACATCCTCGCCCATCTCCTCACGCCAAGCGTCGTCAAGGCGGGAGAAGCAACGGTACGGGGTGTGGAACCTCCCACACGTCTGTCCCTTGCGGTCACCTGTGCGAATGACATAGGAACAGCGGCCACTGCCCCCCGACGTCCCACGCTGAGCAAGCCACTCACGAAGCTGCTGGGTCGTCTGGGGACGCTGCTGCTGCTGGGAGCTCTGGCCCGAGCCAGTGCCTCCACTCCGACCTCCGCCGCCACCACTACCACCGCTCCGACCGCCACCGCCACCACCGCCACCGCCGCCACCGCCGCCGCCGCCACTACTGCCACTGCTTCCTCCGCCGCCCCCGCCTCCACCGCCGACCCCACTCCCACCAGCGCTCCCGCCACCGCTCCCTCCAGCACCGCCTCCCCCCCCACCTCCCCCACCTCCTCCCCCCCCAGCGCCACCCCCGCCACCCTTGCCCCCCTTGCCCTTGCCGGTGCGGCGCCTCCCACCAGGAGCAGAAGCAGCGCCAGCAGACTCAGCACCAAGGAAGTCAACAGCAGCAGCAGTAGCGTAGGAGGGAGCGAGGGGAGAGGGAGAACACCCCTCAAAGATGGGGGTGCGAGGAGCGCCACGAGCAGCACCGACAGCTACTATGCTCTTTTCGGCCGCTAGCAGCTGCTCCTCTAGGAGGGCGACTGTGAGCTCAGTGGGACAGCGAGCAAGGAAGTGGTCTCAAACTGAGCTGAGGGTGTCAGGGAGACGGGTGACTATGAAGTGGAGTGTCCAGTACAGGGGAGGGGGATTCTTAGCGCAGAACTCGGTGGGAAGGGCGGCACGCAGGCGAGCATCACTAGTGCGAAGGTGGGTGATAAGATCGGCGACTGTAGCAAAGGTGGACAGCTCAGGGAACAGGTACGGCAGCATGAGGCGGCTAAGCTCGGCTGTGGCAGGCGAGGAGTAGCGAGCAACGACAGCATCGTACAGGGCCTTAGCGGATTTGCAGTCGCCAAAATGCTCGAGCTCAGCTAGCGGCAGGTGACTGCGAATGGCTAGGCGAGCAGCTGCGTCACGAGTCTGCCAGTGGGAACGAACACTAAGCTCAGCTGTGGCAGGGGGGGCAGGTGCAGCACCAGACGCGTAATCATAGAGCGACACATGCTCCTTGCTATCGCTCAGAAGGAACAGCTGCAGGTCATCCAGCCAAGTGGCGAACTTCACAGGGCGGCCCTCAGCATCGAACGACAGCACGCGGATGGAAGCCATAGCGACAGTGCGACTGAGCAAAGGAAGCTGCCACAGCGCTGCAGGTAGGTAGCTCGGCGGGAAGCGCGGCGGGCGGGCGACGCGGCGAGCGGGCAGTGCGGGGGGCGGGCTACGAAGCGGGCAGCGCGGTGGGCAGGCGGCGCTGCAGGCGGGAAGTGCGGCGGGCGGGCTGCGAAGCGGGCAGCGGGGCGGGCGGGCGACGCGGCGAGCGGGCAGCGCGGCGGGCGGGCTGCGAAGCGGGCAGCGGGCGGGCGGGCGACGCTGCAAGCGGGCAGCGGGCGGGCGGGCGACGCTGCAAGCGGGCAGCGAGGCGGGCGGGCGACGCTGCGAGCGGGCAGCGGGCGGGCGGGCGACGCTGCGAGCGGGCAGCGAGCGAGCGGGCGACGCTGCGAGCGGGCAGCGAGCGAGCGGGCGAGCGGGCTGCGAAGCGGGCAGCGGGCGGGCGGGCGACGCTGCAAGCGGGCAGCGAGGCGGGCGGGCGACGCTGCGAGCGGGCAGCGCGGCGGGCGGGCGACGCTGCGAAGCGGGCAGCGGGCGGGCGGGCGACGCTGCAAGCGGGCAGCGGGCGGGCGGGCGACGCTGCGAGCAGGCAGCGCGGCGGGCGGGCTGCGAAACGGGCAGCGCGGTAGGCGGGCGACGCTGCGAGCGGGCGGCTCGGCGGGCGGGCGACGCTGCGAGGGGCGCGCGAGGGCGCTAACGAGAGGCGCACGAGGGCGCTAACAAGGGCGCGCGAGGGCGCTAGCGAGGGCGCGCGAGGGCGCTAACGAGAGGCGCGCGAGGGCGCTAACGAGGGCGCGCGAGGGCGCTAACGAGGGCGCGCGAGGGCGCTAACGAGGACGCACGAGGGCGCTAACGAGGGTAGGGCACGGGGTAGCGTGGTAACCGCATGCGAGCGGTGGTGGGCCCTTAAAAAAAAAAAAAAAACGGTCGGTAGGTCCTAGGGACCTCCTGCTCTGAATACCATGTTAAAAGAACTAGGCAAGAATGAATGCATTGAATGAAACAGTTGGGTACAAGTAGCAAACCCTAGTTGGGGTTGTACCCCATATTGGCTACCCCACTACAGCCTACCAACATATAACACATTACAATTTAACAGTTGCTCCATTGTCTGATTTGTCCGTTCCGTCTGTCCGTCGGTTTGCGGGTGGTATGACGACGAAAACTGCAGGCGGGTACCGTACTGTGCCCACGTCTCCTGCCAGAACTTCGACGTAAATTTCGGGTCTCGATCGCTGATGATCGCCGAAGGTAACCCGTGTAGGCGTACGACGGTGGAGATGAACAGTTTGGCTGTATCTTCGGCTGTGATCGTCGTTCGGCATGGGGCGAAATGCGCCATTTTCGTTAGGCGATCGACGACGACCAGCACCGAGTCGTTGCCACTCGCGCCAGCTGGTAGCCCCGTGACGAAATCCATCGTCACCTGTTGCCACGGTCGTTCGGGTGGCTCGAGGGGTTGCAGTAGTCCGGCTGGCCTTTGTCGCGACGACTTCATTGCTTGGCAGGTCGGGCAAGTTGACACGTAGCGCTGCACATCGGTGAGCATGTCCGGCCAGTAATAATTCCGCTGCAGCAGCTTCAGTGTTTTGTCGGTGCCGAAATGCCCGGAAAGGTTGGAGTCGTGAACCTCCTGCGTCAGCAGCTCCCGTAAAGGCTGGTATGCTGGTACCCAAATCCGGTTCGTACCGGCTTTTAGGTAATACTTGCCATGCGGTGTAGCAGCCTGTTGTTGCGGGTTCCGAAAAAACCTGTCGATCTTGTACCCATGGGTGAATAGTCCCGTCAGCATCGGGTTGGTGTGGGCGATTAGCACCGCCGCATTCTGCATAGATGGCCGGGTGAGGGCGTCGGCGATGTTGTTGGCGCCCTTTTTGTACGTGATGTTGTACCGAAAGTTGGACTCGAGGAAGCCCAACCACCGGATTTGTCGCGGGTTGAGTGTCGGTTGCGTGCGCATGTACTGTAGTGATTTGTGGTCGGTCCGAATGGTCACGTCGGCTCCCGTGAGGTAGCAGCGCCAGACGCGGAATGCATGGACGATGGCCAGCATCTCCTTGTCGTGGACTGGGTAGTTGCGCTCGGGTGGCTGCATCTTGCGTGACTCGTAGGCGATGGGTTGCAGCCCTTGGCCGAAGTCCTGTAGCAGGACGGCGCCGACGGCGAAATCGCTGGCGTCCGTGACGACTTCGAACGGTCGAGATGGGTCGGCGAGGCGGAGTACCGGGGGTGACTTCAAAATGTTTTTGAGGGCGTCGAAGGCGGACTGCTCCCTCTCCCCCCACCGAAAATCGTTGTCGTGATGCAGCAGGTCGGTCAGCGGCTTGGTTATCCCTGCCATATTAGGTACAAAACGACGAACGTAGTTAACAAACCCCAAAAAACTTTGCAACTCAGGGATATTAGTAGGCGGCTTCCACTTAGCGATGGCGTCCACCTTACGTGGGTCAATTTTAATCCCCTCGCCGGAAACCACGTGCCCCAAAAATTCTAACTCCGGCTTCAAGAACTCGCACTTAGACCCCTTCGTAATCAGCCGATGCCCCTGTAAACGCCGGAACACCTCCTCTAAATCCCGCATATGATCTTCTTTTGTTGCGCTGTACACCAGGATGTCGTCCAGATACACGATGACTTTCTTGTCCAGCATGTCCCGAAAAATCCCGTTCATGGTGAGCTGGAACGTCGAGGGCGCGTTTGTCAGACCGAACGGCATCACTGTGAACTCGTAACTGCCGTAGCGGGTGCGAAAAGCGGTCTTCGGGCAGTCGTCGGCGAACACGCGAATTTGGTGGTAGCCTCCTCGCAGGTCAATTTTCAAAAAATATCGAGGTCCGCGAAGTTGATCCAGCAGATCGTCGGTTCGCGGGATCGGGTAACGCGACTTTATCGTGACCCGATTCAGAATGCACATGCGTAGGCCCCCGCCCTTCTTCGGCGTGAACAGTATTGGCGCTGCATACGGCGACGTGCTTGGCCGGATGAAGCCCTTGGCTAGCAGGTAATCCAGCTGGGCCCGCAACTCGGCGAGCTCTGGTTGGCTGAGCCGCCACTGTGTCCGAACAGTAGGTTGCGCTCCTGGCTCCAGCTGGATCCGATGATCCTCAGGTCGTTGGGGGGGCAAGCCATTCGGTAGGTCATCCGCGAAAATTTCGGGATACCTCCGAATTATGCTCGCCAATTGCTCGGAGACTGCCGCGCAGAGGGTGTCGATGTCTGCGATTTTCTCGGAAGCTACCACCTCGTACAGGTGCACCAAGAAGGCTTGAGCTCCACTGTTCAACGCACGCTGCATTTTGATCGCGTTGACGCGTGTCGTCACCGGCTCCGGCTCCGTCCATTTCGGAAGCGTCGTCTTCCCTCCGTATCCTCGCACGACGCACGCCCCAGTCGTCCAGTCGATCGTCGGATTGAAGCGCTGCAGCCAATCCCTCCCCAGCAGCACATCGCAGCCGTCCAACGTCGTCGCCAACATTCGCATACCAAACCCGAATTTGTCGCCGCACTGTATCCGAATTCTTCGCGCTTCATCTCGAATGGCCAGCGGTGTCCCGTCCACCAGTCTGGCATCGATCTCCGGCAGACACCTCGTCAGCTTCACCCCAATTTTTTTGGCCGTTGCCAGGTTGACGAGACTGTGGCTCGCCCCACCGTCAACGAATATTTTTATTTTATAACCGTTAACCCTCCCCACCACCAGCACAGGGTAGTCCACGTGTTCACCCACGTTATTCGTCCGGTTCTGGTGCGACCCGGTGTGGATGGTCGGATCCCATAGCTCTGATCGGTACCACGACCCGGTGTGGATGGTGATTGTCGGGCGACAGGGTCTCGTCAGTAGGTGGCCCTTCTGCTACTGACTCGTATCTTTTCCCGACCCTTCTCCGTCGTTCTTCTTCCCCTGCTTAAGCCTCGGGCAGTCTTTCTTCAGGTGGCCCAGCTGGTTGCATTGAAAGCACGGCCCAAGGGCTCGGCTCGGTGCATCCACGCCGTTGATCGTGGGCTGCTGGGTCGATCCACGAAATCGAGGGCCCTCCCGGGAGCTCGATCTCGCCCACTGCATCAGCGCATCCGTTGACTCGGCTTCCCGGACGGCGTCGTTGAATGTGCGTGGCCGGGTTCGTCGGACCTCGTACTGTATCTCGTATTTCAGGCCCGCCACGTAGCGATCCAACCGCTCCGCATCGCTCATGTCGTCCACTTGGTCCGCCAAGTTGCAGAATTTGCTGGTGTAGTCTTGGACCGAAGCCAACTGCTTCCAGGTACGCAGCTGCATGCGAGCAGAATCCGAGGCGGATATGTGCTCGAATCTGGTTCGCAAGGCGGCGCCCCACTCCTTCCATGTGCGTATCGTGGCCGTCCAGAAAATCGATGTTGCCCGATGCGTGACAGGTGTTGAAGTCCCGTCGTTCGCACGTGCTGTTCCTGCCGAAGTCCCTTCGTGTTGCAGCGTTCGCCTCCACCACTCCAGCGCAGGCCCTCGCAACAGTGAAACTGCGAAATTAATGCGGGTGGCATCGTCATAAATCATGGCAGCATTAAAAAACACCTCCACGCCGAACAACCATGCAGAAACAGTGACGAACTTGTCACTTGGGTTAAACGGGGGCGGGTTTGTCGGCTTGATTTTCACGAAAGCCGTTGCTGCCATCGGGGCCGTC